TCATCACACCAAGAATATTTAAAATAGACTAAGCACAAAAGCGTAACATCTTCACCTCAATATTTGACTCACAAGTACCACATATTATTCACAACTCACCCACTTACTCTAACATAGAGTTCACTGACATTACCTTTCGTTCATGAATCAAGTGCCCTCACACAATAAAAGAAAGTAGTTCCACACAATAAAATTTAAGAGCACTTAGGAACTCAAGATAGAAAGAATTCACTCACTCTCAGAAATAACATTCATATGCCACAAAAGATGCACCATAGGCTTGCCCGTAGTGTATTATTCTACTAATCGAGCTCATTCAGTCTAGGATTAAGTAGGACTTTATTTGGTTGTAATGTAGGCTGCGGGACGGGTAGGATACATTTAGATAGAAGAGTGGCTACACCTCCCTAAGCATTTTAATACATATACTTTAACATTCAAAAAACCATACTTATGTGAAACCAAACTCCGCCTTCACATCAATGTATTTTACCTCATACTTCTTTAAGCACAAGCACAATTACATCAAGAGTCACCACTTATCAGGGAATTTTTTTTCATAACAATACAATTTTTTTTTTCTTTTTTTTTTATTTAAGTGGTTCTTACTTTTTCAAAACAGTGCACCTTTCTCCTTATCTCATTAGTTCCACTCAAAAGCCAAACCAATCACCCCACATTTTAACCTTTACACAGTTCATAACACTTCAAGTGCTCATGAGAGGTTAGAAGGTTCAAATAGATGGTTAATTCAAAAAAATATGGTTGCCAAAGAAACAGGATTACATGCTCAAAGGGGTTAACTACGATACATAACAATTAGGCGGGTAAAATATACATATCTGGCTCAACACAGAAATGCCTATATCACTTCCAAGACTGAACAAAACTACTATTTTGCTTTGTAAACACACGAGGCAAGTTTTAGACATCAAGTGCACGCACAGAATAACACAAAACCTTACACACACACACATGGCACATAACTCATTCAAGATTGGTTTTTATCAAGACACTCTAGTCAAAGAAGTTAAGCAAAGTTAAGGTCATACAATTTAAGGTACTAATACAAGAGTCAAAAACTGGGCCTAAGTGTCACAACCAAAGTACTCACTATTCTCAAGGCATAACAAAGTCAAGAGATATTTCTTCATTTCAGAACACAATACAATGACTCCAACTCCCAAAAAAAACTAACTACACCGATTCAAACAAAATCCTTGGAAAAGAACCGCTGCACAAAGAAAAACCAGGGGGTAATTGCTACATTACCTAACAAAAGAAAATCTTTTTTTCTTTTTATTTAGACTTAAATCCCTCAAGAAAATTGTCTAATAGATCCATCGTCGGAAAAAGTCCAATCTTTAAAATAAAAAAAATATTATTTAATTAAACTAACACAGTTAAAGTAGCATGAAAAGTCACCTAGACAATTTCCTCATATACCCCACACTTAAAATTGTGCATTGTCCCCAATGCACATCATAACTATAAGAGGGTAAGAGAAACTCCTTGATAGGCCAAAGGCCGAAGCACTAGCAGCTCATGGGGTACTCAGACTTCTCTCAGGCTTGGTCCTTCGTGTGGGTACCTCACACTTAGTTCCAACCATCTGGTTTGTTGTTGCATCATTCCAATAGCTTTGCTTTTCATGCTCCTAGAAAATAAAAAATTGACACTACAAAAATAATACAATTAAAAAAAAGCAATAAAGCTGGGTTGCCTCCCAACAAGCGCTTGATTTAACGTTGCGGCACGACGCGAATCACTTTTTGCCTCCACCTCGATCTTATGAATTTAACCCCCAATTTGGCATCAAGTTTTCGGCTATACTCCAAGGGTGGAGGAACAAATCTAATTGACCCAAGCAACCATTGTACTATTCTACACTTCTTGGATTTAGATGAGGTATGTAGTCATGTCTTTCTGGCAAGAAAAATTCCAGAATGTAGGCACCTTGTTCCTCATTCCTTGACTTCTCAATCAGCTCGGATGACTCTATTTCTATATCATCATCCAAGCACAATGTAGAAAAGTGTTTGGAGTGAGGACCAATGCGCTCACACACATGAACTTCAGGACTTTCAGCATCCTCAACATCAATGATACTAGAGTCAACAAAATTTGTATCCTCAATGTCCTTGGCTGACTGTAGTCTCACTTCTACAACATCGACATCCTCAAATTGTAGTTGGCTAGCTTGTTGATGTTTTACTCTGACCTCCTCAATTAGCACCTCAAATTCACGCTCTTCTTGGCTCCTATCCTCAAAATTGGCTTGTTGAGCATTAAAAATTTCAACCACTTGACTCACTTAAGCCTCCAAGTTGCGAATAGTTGCCTCTTACCTTTCTATCTGCAATTGTTTCTAATTGTTTTGTTCCAGAAGGCACTTTAGCATATCCTTGATTTCCTTCAGGTCCGCATTCCCAGGTTCTTTGTTTCTATTAACTTCACAAGAAAAGGTAGAACCATCATAGTAAGGGGTTGGGGGAAAATAAGAAATATAAGCACAACCATAAAAGTGACCCTTTTTACGGGAAAATAAGAAATATAAGCACAACCATAAAAGTGACCCTTTTTACCACTACACACATTCCACAAATAAGATTGAGTTGGTGCACATAACTCGCTCTCAGGAATGTTTTGAAAAATTTGCCACGGGTGGTTTCCTTCACAATATGTATGGAGATCAATAGTAGAATTATCTACACCTAAATTTCCATAGTTCCAAGATGTCATGTTTCTCAAATCAACAATTATAAAAAAATACAAAAAAAAAATACAAAAAAAAAAGTTCAAACTTGAACCCTAGCAATATATACAACTACAACTACACCGTTAGTTCCCCGACAACGGTGCCAAAATTTGATCACGCTCAACTATGCCTTATAAAAAGGACTAAGCGATCATTGCAAATATAATCCGGTTTATATGTCCGGAGTCGAATCCCATAGAGAACTACGACTTAACTACAGTTGTTCACTATCACCAAGAATACAAGCTTGAACAATTCCTAACTTATAGATATTAAGATTCTTGTGTTTAACTAACTACTAACAAATTAAAATAATAAATTAACACTAAAGATACTACAGGTTGGAGAAAAGATTAAGGAGGTCTAGAGTTATGATTTTCCCAATTGTCGGAATCCTTCCTGCTATGTCTTCTATAATTTCGCCTAAGTATTCTCTACCGATCATGAGTGCTCTGCGTGTTGTAATTCTCTCCTGAGTAATTACGACAATTTACTAGACATACTCTCCCGAGTTACGCTAGCTGACTTTAATTACAGCTCACTTAAATTGCAACCAAGGTTTTGTTATCCCTAATCCCAACTTTAAACTCTTGGTTATTGATTCCTCACATACGTCGGGAGTGATGTTGTTCAACAACTACCTAAATGTGCACTCTCTCCCGAGTAATACATACTAAATAGGTACAGCTAATTGAAGGCCCTTCAATCAACCACAAGAATAATATAGTTGAACAAATAGAGAAAATACTACGGCTCAATTATATAAAAACATAATAAGAATTTATCCCACAAAAGGTTCCATCAAAACCCTAGATAACAAATTAGCTATTCATAATAGTATGCAAAATTAAATACAATACTAAAAGTCATAACCAACAATGAAAAATAGGAAGAGGAAGTGAGAAACTCGTAGAAGAATTCTCCACCTTGCTCCTAATGTATTCTTGCCTCCTTAGGTCGAATCCTCGGTCTCCTTAGCCTCCTTAGGTCTAAATTATGTCAAAAGTATGTCAAAAGGTATTCAAAATACCATTTTTCCATGTATATATACCAAGTAGGGTTGACCCAAACAATTACACCTTCTCCTACGTGAAAAAAGACACATTTTTCGGACAGGACGTGCGCGGCCACACTCAGACCGCGCATATCCACTTTGATTCTGCCTGACGAGCGCGACCTTAGCGTGGCCGCACTCTTGATGCGCACATTTCACCCTGTTCCGTTTGGAATCTAGAAAAACGTAAAACATAAAAGTTGTATCCCTTTGAGTTAGATTTCTAACCATATATTGTGGAGCCCAAATGGAGCTCTGAGCAAAGAGTTATGTGTATTTTACTAGACAGTGTGCAATATGCCTACTCGATTCTTTGTTTGTTCTAACTATCATCTGACCCCCAACATGATACCGGCTTAATTCCTTGATCTTTTACTCATACTTCAAAGCTCCATATCACTTGAATTCATTCCATAACATCTACATAGCTCGGAATCACTCATACAAGGTATAAAACACACAATTAGTGCAAGACACTAGCGATTAAAGCTCAAACTCAATTAAAGTGCAGTAAATTTGAGTGTAATAAGCGACTAAAATACGTAATTATAGCCTCTCATCATCCGCGGTCAAATCCGCGGACGAGCTGATGGAAGCCAATAGCCCATAGTTAATTATGTAATTTTCAAGGCGACTAACCTAAACCTATATGAAGCCTAATTCGCCCAGAAGAGAAAGATAGCTATTTTTAGAGAGTTATTTTGGAGGCAAGAACACGGGAGGAAGATAGATAATTTCCTTAAGAGTTTTCATCATCTTCTTCTTAATTCCATTGTTGATTATGACTTTCTATAGTGAATTTCTATTTATTAGTATGAGTAGCTAAACCCGTCATCTAGGGTTGATGGAACCAATTGTTGGATGAAGTCTTGACTCTGTTTTGATATAATTTAGCCATTTTTACTCTATGATTGTTCAACTATGTGTTGTCTTGTGATTAATTGAAAGGGCACTTGATTAATCGTGTCTAGTTATCTTGTATTTCTTGAGAAAGAATACATGGCTAAATTGTTGTTGAACAACACCACCTTCAGGTAAGTTAAGAGATTAATTACTTGAATTTAATCTGTCTTTGAGTGACACAAATTGATAGGAAGTTCTTCAGATGTTGTTGTGGGTCTTCGATATACAACCCGAAGAACAACCCCCTATTCTGCAACAGGTGCAATATGTTGTTGGTAATCTGGAATGTCTCCGCTTGTATCTGAGGAACTGCAATTGCAGTGGCTAGATTATCAGCAGTTGGTTGCGCCCAATCATATAGAGCAACTTCTGGCACAAGGGTGCTAACACTCTGATATTTGGGTCCACTTGATTATTTCTATTATTTCTGTTGGCATTGTCTACATCACCCATTTCAATTTCGAATTGTTCATTTTGTTTTAGCTGTTTGCCCTTCTTGTTAGCCCGATTCAATGTCCGGAATGTTTTCTTGGGATTTGAGAGTCCTTTAAAGAGGTCACCAGCTCTTAAGGAGCTTCTAGCATGTACTTGAGGCACAGAAGAGTTCAACGTGAGAATTTCAATGGAGATATTTTTAACACCACGGAAAATTGAACTAAACTAAAAATCCTAGCAATTCTTTCAAGCTGCAATAAATAACACCGTTAATTCCGCAACAACGGTGCCAAAATTTGATTACTCCCAACTATGCCTTGTAAAAGGACTAAGCGATCACTGCAAATATAATCCGGTTCAAGTACGGAGTCGAATCCCACATGGAACTAACCTATTACTATTACTTTTAACACTGCTAATGATAAGCTCAAACAATTCTCGGATGCAAGATTTTTAATGGATAATGAGTAGAATTTAGTTAACTAAGGAAAAATGACAATAAAACTAGCAATAATCAAGAATAAAGTTGAATTCAATGGCAAAAGTGTTTAGGGCTATTGATTTCCCCAATTGTCGGATTAATTCCTGACATGTTAGCTATAATCTTGCCATAACACTCTATAGGGCTATGAGTTCCGGGCTACCGCAATTATCTCTCGATCAATTACGATAATTTACTAGAAGCATTCTCTCGAACTACTCTAGTTAATAATTTATGCAACTCAGAATTAACCCATCAAAGCTTCATTATCTCTAACCCCGCTTTTCCGAATGTGACTCCTGAGGCAATTAAGCTATTACTGTTCCCATTCTCAGTGAATGGGGAGGCTCAAAGTTTGCTGAATTCGCTCCCAATAAACTCCATTGATACTTGGGAAGAATTAGTCAAGCAGTTCTTAAACAAGTTCTATCCTCCTAACAAAACTGCGAGGCAAATTGATGAGATATTGCAGTTCAGGTAGAAACCGACTGAGACTTTGCAGGAAACCTAGGAGAGGTTTAAGGGTATATTAGTGAAATGTCCGCACCATTGCATCCCATATCAGATGCTTGGACAGAGATTCTATATGGGTTTGGCTGACGGTCTGAAGGCCAATGTAGATACTTCTGACGGGGGTGCATTTTTTAGCAAAATATTCACAGAGTGTAAGATTCTTCTTGACAAGATATCTCAGAATTCAGGCTAGACGACGAGAGATACAACACTCACTCCAATAATGCATTCTGTCGCTCTTGACCCAAACAATACAAATGAAGAAAACATAGCCACTCTCATGACCCAAATGAGCTTGCTGACAAAGAAAATTGATGAGATGGGTACGAAATGGGTGCACATTGTTGATACCACAATTGGAGGCTTATGCACTCCTTGCATAAACCAGTCATATATGTGCTCGTGGAGTAGAGAGAATGAACAACCAGGGTTTCAGCGAAGACATGAATTATGTCAATAATTTCGGAGGTCAGAGGCAAGGTGGGCAGCAATGGGGATCAACAACAAACCAACACTACAGACCAAACCAGCCACAACACAACCTCAATCCAGGAGGAGCACGACCACAAATCCAAGTCGTGCCTTATCAAAGGCAGCAGGGCTATAATCAGTAGCACCAGCAATAGTTGGCCTACCAACCACCTCATCAACAACAAACAATAACATGATCGAAATCAGGGGCATGCTGCAATAACTCATTGGGACAAATGGAAAGATGCAAGAGAAGTTAGCTACACATGATTCAGCAATCAAAGGCATTGAAACTCAATTGGGACAACTATATATGGCCTTGAACATCGCCCACAAGGAACATTGCATGCAAATACAAACATTAATCCAAATGAGCAGAACCCAAATCAGCTAATGGCAGTGAGTCTCAGGAATGGAAGAGATTTAGATAGGGAGTAGGAAGTTGCTCAATCTAAGAGAGAGACAACGCCAACTACTCCAGTTACTGTAGAGACAGATGAGTCAGCAGAGCTCAACGAGGTTGTAATTGAACAGGCACAAGTTGACAAGGGTAGGGGTGGGAAAAAAATCTGAAAAACCGAATTCCGAACCGAACAAAATTAATTTGGTATTTCGGTTTCGGTTTTTTCGGTAATGAATTTTCGGTACTTCGGTATTTCGGTTCGGTTTTATAATTTTACAAATTTGGTAAACCGAAATACCGAAAATATCTAAGCGACTAAGCCCAATTACCTATTTTATAGGCCCATGCGGCCATGCCATGCCCCATCCCCAACGTCCCACTCCCACCCAGGCCCAGCTCCCCCAACTCCCAACCCAAGCCCAATCCCAATCAATACCCAAGTACCCAACCCAAGACCCAAGTCGAGAATCAAATTAGGCATTTCATTAGGGCTTGCTTACTGCTTCAGAGTCTTCACTCTTCAGTGCTTAGCCATTTCATCGAGAAGAAGGAGACGAGAATCGACTGCGAGTCTAGGATATCACTTATCAGTCTGCGATTCTAGACGAGAATCGACTGCTTAGGATATCAGTCTACGTCTCTACGAGTTACGACTAGTCGACATTCGAGCTCGAGTCTCATCTCATCTTCACCGGTTAACTTCACTACTTTTGTAAGTTTTGTAAGTCTCATCTCATTCTCATGATCTCATCCCAGTACTCGACTACTCTCTGAGGTTTGTTTGAGTTTTTACATTTTTAAGTTTTGAACTTCTTGAGTTTAGAGTACAGACGCATAAATTTTTTAATTTCTGATTTTCTGCATCAAACTAATTTAGGGTTATAGGAGGCGATTTCCAGCTCGATTCGATTCCTCACTCCTCAATTTCAGAGGTTTGTTGTTTCGCTTTCTTTTGGTTGTACTGCTGATTGAATGAACTGCTATTCTGAGCTTTTCCCTTTAGTAGGAAAATATCATTTGTATTTTGTATCACGTTCATGGCTTCATGTTGTTTAATTCATTTGCTTGTATAATAACAGTTGTGAGTACACAACTATGTGTTAGGCTTACCATATGATTACTTTGTTTATGTCTGATTTTTAGATCTTTACCATATGAGCAGAGCAACTAACAATAGCAGAATGCTCTCTTTGGTTGAACACTCTATTCTTTTAGTCGCCCCGGTTGAAATTTTCCTAACAACAGACACTTGGACTCTATTCTTTTGGTTGAAATCATATTTTAGGACATGATTTATATGTTGTAAACCTACCTTTTTTTATTATCGTTATGTGTTTATAAAATTGAATGTGGAAAAACACACCTCAATATGGACATCAATGGCTTAGGATTGGATGCATTGTTGCTGATTGATGTTCTTACACATTGGCTTCAAGAAAAACAAATGCTACAAATTTCATTTGACAAATCTTAGTGTTGTTGTTGTTGTTTCAGGCCATTGAATGATGATGAGCAAAGGATAAATGTTCCAAAGGCCATAACATGTAATGAAAGTAAAAGAGAAGTTTCTGTTTTACAAAATGTAGCTAACAAGCAAGTAGACAAAGTATTCACTTTTGACAAGGTATAATTCTTTGTTTTATAGTAGCATTTTGTTCATTAAATGGATGGATGACATGTTAAGAATGTTAGCATTAGGAGTTGTCTTAAAGATATGCTATTTACCAGGTTTTTGGCCCAAAAGCACAACAGAGATCGATATATGATCAAGCCATTTCGCCCATTGTTAAGGAAGTTCTTGACGGATTTAATTGCACTGTATTTGCATATGGGTAAACTGGTACAGGTAAAAATACACAATGGAAGGAGGAATGAGGAATAAGGTATTAACTGGTTCACACTATACACCATATCATCTTTCACATTGATCTACTCTTGTCCATAAGACTTGTTCTTTCCTTATGTTATAGGCTGGTGAATTACCAGCTGAAGCAGGTATTATTCCAAGGGCAGTTCGCCAAATTTTCGATACGCTTGAAGGTCAAAATGCAGATTATAGCATGAAAGTGACTTTTTGGGAACTATACAATGAAGAAATCACTGACTTGCTAGCTTCAGAAGAGCCCTCAAAGTCTTCAGAAGAGAGACAAAAGAAGCTTGTATCTCTCATGGAGGATGGAAAAGGTTGTGTTGTAGTGAGGGGTCTTGAGGAAGAAGCTGTGTACAGTGCAAACGACATTTATAACCTCCTGGAGCGAGGAGCAGCCAGGAGGCGCACAGCAGACACTCTATTGAACAAACGCAGCAGGTAGGACCTGTTAGCTTTAATCGATTTAAAAAGTAAATGTTAAGCGACAAGTTAATGATACTCTTCTTCTGCAGCCGTTCTCACTCTATTTTTAACATAACTATTCATGTCAAAGAAATGACTATTGGAGATGAGGAGCTCATTAAGTGTGGCAAGCTCAATCTTGTTGATTTAGCAGGATCAGAAAATATTTCTCGATCAGGTGCACGAGAGGTATGATATTAGCATCACAGATTTGTGCTTTAAAGCAAAATTGGAAAGCTTTTACATTTCTCTTATACTCGGTTATTCAAATAAATGTTAACTAAATGACAAATTAGCACTGGGAAAAAACAAAAAAGAGCATGATAACAACTATGCTTCAACCCCAAACAAGCTGCGGTCGGTTATATGCATCTTCTGGAATGGTGGTAACAAGTCTTGTATGGATTAACCCTGATAAAGCGAATCCAACTTACAACAACTATATCTGTTTGAATTCAGGCTCGTGCAAGAGAAGCGGGGGAAATCAATAAGAGTTTGCTTACTCTTGGTCGTGTTATAACAGCTTTGGTTGAACACTCTATTCACATAGCTTAGGTTCAAGTGCAATCATGCCCCGTGCTACTGCTCAACGCCCCGTGAGGCCGTGCTACTGCTCAAGACTGTTTGTTGAGGGATGCCCTCTCTGTTTTTTGTTGCACTATGTTTAACTGTTTAAGTGTTAAGACTGTGCAGACTTGCAGTTGGCCAGTTGCAGTGTTGCACTGTGTTTAAGTGTTAATACTTAAGGGTTAAGACTGTTTTTGTTGGACTGTGTTTAACTTGTTTAACTGTGTTTAAGTTGTTGGACTTGTTGGACTGTGTTAAGTGTTTAACTGTGTTTAAGACTTTAAGTTGTTTAATATAGTTGTGTAATCAGTAATGTGCATTGTGCAGTTGGCCAGCTTTTGCCAACTACAGTATATGCCAGATTCATTGCAAATTTGCAAGTTTGTATGACATACAATATTGACATTGAGTTCAGTATACTGGCGTGCAAGGTTGCCTTTGCAAGTTGCAACTGCAGATGTTATTCTTGTTTCAGGCTTTCAGCCATGTGCACATTGTGGTTGTGCAGTTGTGCACTGTTAGTGTTAATATGTTATAGTGTTATATATCGAAAAACATATTCTTTTAGAGTGAAAATTTCAATTATCCATGTGCACTGTTAGCACTTAGCATTGATTGTTAAACCGAAACCGTACCGAACCAAAATAAGAAATACCGAACCGTATCGAAATAATTTGGTACGTATTTGGTATAAACAATCGATGAACCGAATACCGAAATACCAAACCGAAATTCTTAAATACCGAACCGAAATATCGAACGCCCACCCCTAGACAAGGGTAAGGAGAAGGAATGTGAACAACTCCCAGAACAAGTGGTAGAAAAAGCTTCCAGCAAAGAAAAGACACAAAGCAGTGGGCAGAGGTTGACTCCTGCACCATTCCCTCAAAGGTTGGCAAAGCAAAAGAAAGATGATCAATACAGGAAATTCATGGAAATGCTTAGACAAATCAATTGAATATTCCACTGATTGATGCTTCGAGGGAAATGCCAGGGTATGCAAAAATGATGAAGGACCCGATGTCACAAAAATTTGACTTTCAGGACATGTCCACTATAACTCTGACGCAGACCTGCAGCGCGGTACTGACAAGGCCTATGGCTCAAAAGGTGTCTAATCCAGGTAGTTTCACTATCCCATGCATCATTGGGAGATATGCTTTTGCTAAAGCATTTTATGACTTGGGAGCTAGTATAAACTTGATGCCCTTGGCAATCTATATAAAATTGGGCATTAGCAGAGCTAGACCGACCTTAATGTTGCTGTAATTGGCTGATCACACGGTCAAAAGACCAACAGGAATTCTTGATGATGTGCTTGTTCAAGTGGGGAAGTTTGTATTCCCTGCAGACTTCGTCATTCTTGACTGTCAAGTGGATGAAGAGATACCAATCATTTTGGGAAGGCCGTTTTAGCCACTGGGAGAGCATTGATAGATTGTGAGATTGGAGAGTTGAAATGAGGTTGAACAATGAAGAAATAATATTCAATGCTCAACAATCTTTGAGGAGACCAAGCAAATTTGCAAATTGTTTGTTAGTGGAGGTCGTGGATGTAATACTACAAGAGGTGGATGAGACTTTTAATGTCAGGGATCCGTTAGAAGCTTGCTTGATGAATCTGGAAAATGTGGATGGTGAGGAGTTGGCATAGTGGGTCATGGCTCTCGAAGGTCAAGGGTTCTAGAAAAGGGAACCCCAGTTTGAGCCCCTACACTTTGAAGAAAGACCAACAACACCTGCGAAGCCATCAATAGAGGAGCCACCACAGCTGGACCTGAAACCACTTCCAGCTCACCTCAGGTATGCTTTCTTAGGGCCTAATTCTACTTTACCTATTATTATATCATCCGGTTTGTTAGATGTGCAGGTAGAGAAACTCATATAGGTGCTATAGGAATGTAAGACTGCTATTGGTTGGACCATGGCAGACATAAAGGGTATCAACCCGGCTTTTTATATGCACAAGATTCTCTTGGAAGAAGGGCACAAACTTTTCAAAAAACACCAACAAAGGTTGAACCCGAATATGAAAGAGGTGGTGAAGAAAGAAGTGATCAAGTGTTTAAATACGGGTATCATCTTCCCCATCTCTAACAGCAATTGGGTCAGCCCTGTTCAGTGTGTGCCGAAGAAGAGAGGAATGACGGTCGTACAAAATGAGAATAACGAGTTGATCTCGACTCGTATAATCACGGGGTGGTGGATTTGCATGGATTATCAGAAATTGAACACAGCCACCCGGAAGGACCATTTCCCCTTGCCATTCATTGACCAAATGTTGGACAGGTTGGTTGGGCGATATCACTTCTGTTTCTTGGATGGATATTCGGGGTACAATCAGATCTCAATAGCCCTTGAAGACAGAGAGAAAACATCTTTTACTTGTTCGTATGGCATCTTTGCCTTTCGGAGAATGCCTTTTGGCCTTTGCAATACACCAGCTACATTCCAGAAGTGTATGTTAGCCATCTTCACGGATATGGTTGAAGATATTATGGAGGTATTTATGGATGATTTCTCCATGGTGGGGGATTCATTCGAAGATTTTCTTCACAATTTAAGAAGAATGTTAAAAAAAGATGTGTGGAGACAAATTTATTGTTGAACTGGAAAAAGTGCCATTTTATGGTATAAGAAGGGATAATGTTGGGCCATCGAGTGTCCAGTAAAGGAATTAAGGTCAACCATGCTAAGGTTGACATGATTTAGAAGTTGCCACCGCCCACTTCGGTCAAGGCAGTGAGAAGTTTCCTTCGGCACGCCGAGTTCTACAGGCGATTCATAAAAGATTTCTCTAAGATTGCTAACCCTTTATGTAAACTCCTTGAAAAGGATCAGCCCTTTGTGTCTTCTAATGATTGCAGGTTGGCATTTGAGGAGCTGAAGAAGATACTGGTGAATGCACCCATCATTGTTGCACCCAACTGGGAGCAACCATTAGAGCTCATGTGTGACATATGTTACTATGCTATAGGAGCAGTCTTGGGCAGCGAAAGGGTAGGGTGACGCACCCAATTTACTATGCAAGCAGAATGCTAAGCGGTGCATAACTCAATTACACCGTGATAGAAAAGGAGATATTGGTTGTAGTTTTTGCATTCGACAAATTCAGGTCGTACTTGATTAGTTCAAAAGTTATTGTTTATATTGACCATGCAACAATTAGGTACTTGATAGCAAAGAACGAGTCAAAGCCACGCTTGATCCACTGGGTTCTTTTTCTACAAGAATTTGATTTGGGGATCTGTGATAGAAAAGGGACAGAGAACCAAGTAGTAGACCACATCTTAAGGTTGGAAGGAGCTGAAAAGAAAGTAAAGGTTGAAGATATAACAGAGACATTCCCAGATGAACAGTTACTAGCCATGACAATAGAGGAGATGCCATAGTATGCTGATATTGCTAATTATTTAGCAAGCGGTATTGTACCTTATGAACGCTCTTCCATTCAAAAGTAAAAGTTCTTTCGCGATTGTCGGTTTTATTATTGGGATGAACCTCTACTTTTTAAAATATGTGTAGATAATATAATCCGTAGGTGTATCCCCGAGAAAGATCAACATTCTGTTTTGCAGGCTTGTCATGCTTCACCATATGGTGGACACTTTGGAGGAATTCGGACAGCAGCTAAGGTGTTGGATTCGAGTTTGTATTAGCCAAATTTGTTCAAGGATGCCCATGCTTGGGTGAAAAGTTACAATGAGTGCCAAAGGACAGGCAACATATCTCGACATCACGAGATGTCGATGACTACTATTCAGGAGGTGGAGGTATTTGACATGTAGGGGATTGACTTTATAGGGCCATTCGTCAGATCGTATGGTAACAAATACATATTGGAAGCAGTTGACTATGTCTCCAAATGGGTTGAAGTCGTGGCTCTCCCAACCAATGATGCAAAAGGGGTGACCGGCTTTCTAAAGTAAAATATCTTCACTTTTTGGCACCTCGAGAGCTATAATCAGTGATGGTGGAAACCATTTTTGCAATAAGCGTTTGCACGGTTGTTGGAAAAGTATGGAGTTCGTCATAAGGTGGCCACACCTTATCACCCACAGACGAGCGGGCAAGTTGAAATGTCTAACCAGGAAATCAAAAATGTCTTGACCAAGACAGTGAATGCAATAAGGACTGATTGGGCAAAGAAGTTGGATGATGCTTTATGGGCATACCGCACAACATTTAAAACTCCAATTGGTATGTCACCATACAAGTTGGTGTTTGGAAAAGCATGACACCTTCCGGTGGAACTTGAACATAAAGCCCTTTGGGCACTGAGGCAGTTGAATTTGGATATGGAGACCGCAGGCACCAGTAAAGTCACTAAGTTACATGAACTCGGGGAATTCAGGTTCCATGCAATTGAGAATGCAAGATTGTACAAAGAAAGGATGAAAATGATGCATGATAAGCATATTCTAGATCGAAACTTCAAACTCGGAGATCTAGTATTGTTTTACAACTCGAGATTAAGATTGTTTCCGGGTAAATTGAAGTCCTGATAGTCCGGACCTTTCAGAGTGGTGCAAGTGTTCTCAAGTGGAGCTGTAGAAATTGAATCAGAAGATGGAACAAATAAGTTCACGGTAAATAGGCAAAGTTGAAACATTACCTTGGAATGGTCGAAGAAAAGGGGGATAAAGTGGTGATATCTTTGGAAAAGCCCCAATACACGAGCGAAGATTAATAATGAAAGCATGCATCGTGTCGTGACGTTAAATTAGGCGATTCCTGGGAGGCAACCCATGGTTTGTTGTAAATCAGCGTGTCGCGATGTCAAATTAGGCACCTTTTGGGAGGCAACCCATTATTTTTCTTTGTTCTTATTTTTGTAAGTGATTTTGAATGGTGATAATATTGACCGATCTACTAATGTGCAGGGATGAAATTATGCGCAGCGGAAGGACTCAGGGTGACGAAATTATCCTGGAGATAGGTAAAAGTGCGAAAAAGAAAAAAAATCTGGAGGTCAAAATCCGCGGCCGCGAATTCAACCGCGGATTCGACCGCAGATTTTGCAGTGGTCACTATCCGTGCCCGCAGATCGACCGCAGATGAGGCACTGTTCAGGTTCAGTTAATTTTTTTTTCTTTTCTCTTCTCCCTTTTTAATTAGTTTTTTTACTTACCCCCCATCCCTAACCGCCCACTCCCCCACTTCTTTCCCCCTCCCCCCTAACAAAATCTAAAACCCTTCCCCCATTTCCCCAAAACAAAAAAAACAAAAAAAATGCACACCC